AATTCTTTATAATGCCTGTCTGCTTCTCAAGAGATGTAGTGAAGCATTTTTGCATAAATATGGCTTACTCACTGACAAAAAAAAAAAAAAGTTTACCCTATCTAAAAAATTTATGATGTTGAGTTCAATATAGCCCTTGAGGCAGAAGCAAAGAGTAGAAAAACAAAATCATCTTCCCAAGCATTCCCTGAACTAAACAACTACTCAGTCTAAATCAAAGCTCTGTTTTGAAACTGGCCTAAATTCAATTTTGTAATTTAATAATAAATTGGAAAAAAAAGAAAAAGTAAACCTTCTAAAATTGAAATGGGTAGTACAAAATATTTTCAGTAATGCAAAATGATTTGATTTTCATTTATCTGAGAAAACAGTTTTTTTGTTTGGTTGGTTTTGATTAGATGGATCTAAACTAACGTTTTTGTTGTGGGTTTTTTCTTTTTTTTGAGAGAGAAATAAAAGGATACAAATCTCTGTTAATTTTAATGAACCTCATATATTCAGTGTACTCAATTTGCCTTACAGTAAATATTTTGGTAGAAAGAGTACTTGTTTAATTAGTCTGCAAAGAGATGATAGGAGTTACGTTTCCATGCCAAAACTATGATTTTTCTATGTTTACAGACTCATCAATCAGAATTGACAGCGTGATGATTTGTGAGAGCTGCAGCTGACTAATTGTTGAGCCCCATTTACCTTATGTGCCTTTTAACTTCTTCAGTACCGGCAGGCCTGCAGTCCATACAAATTTATCTGTTCCCTTGACGCAGCAGAAGATCCTGGCCTATTGGTATTGAGTGTTGTGGAATGGCACCATTTTAAGTAGAGCAGCTACATTATAAAAGGAAGCAGAAAAAGCAGAATTCCCCTGTGTTTACATTTTATTTAACATTGTACCTGTAGGATCTGTGTACCACAATGTCTAGATAATGTTTGGGATTCATTTCAGATTTCAAGGAGGCCCATACTGGCCTGCCTCTGTTATGTTTTGCCTGCACACTTGTTTAGGAGCCAATTCCCATTTGAGCAGCACATCTGAAGTCAGTAAGTGGAATACCTTCTCACTGCTACCTGGTTGCTTCACAAAAGGAAGAGGCTGCTTAACAATGAATGATTTGTGGTTCTTTAGCAAGGCTGCTGTTGATGTCTCTTCAACACAACCTGCCAAAGAGCTTCTCCTAGTGGCGTGCTTGGTTTTTTTCTTGACTGCTTTGTCTCTGAGAATTTTTTGTACAGTCTTATTCTATTTTTTATTTGTCATCTTTTTTCTTTTTGTCTTCTTCCTTCTCCCCCTCTTCTTTTTTTACAATAGTTTCTTCAGGCATCTCACACATCAGAAGTGGTTTCAGAGTCAAAAGGGAACTGATGGTGGAAGCATACATTTATCTGTGAAAATTTCTTTAAAACAATATATTTCAGATATCCTATTCAAAGCAGGTCACTTTCCTTTGTTTTGCTTCTCATGATTTCACATTTTCCATATATCTTTCATCTATTAAAATGTTTGTACCGAGTCATACTCATTTACATTGAGGTAGGATATCCATTAACGATGGCAATAAACTAAATTCCTCTGATATGACAAATTGATACCTGATCTACTCCATCCCATTTTGCAGGAGTATTTGTGTGTTTTCCAGCTTTGCCCTTTTTCAGACCAGATTGCCATCTTTTCCGTTCATGTGAACTTGAGGAAGGCACAGTGTTTGGTTCCCTGTGAGTAGCAGAGGGAGGTGCTACTCATGTCACCAAGCATTTCTTGTGCCAGCTTTCTTGTCTGGCTCATTGGTGTCAGCTCAAATGAAAGCGGCTGCAATGAACTCGAGAGCTGTCTTTGCCTTCTGGCTAAGATCAGTGCATCAGATTAGTATCTGACATGCTTTGTCTCAGTGAGGGAGCTGTAGATAGCACATTGTTCTCAAGGAACTTCTCCATCTATTGTTATTAGAGACCTCCGTGTTCAGCCTGAATCCCTCCTTGTTTCCCCGTAGGAGTGGGGTTTTCACTCTGTTCTTGCTGAAAGTGGGGCTTTAGCACTTGAGTGAATACTGTCCATGTATCTATTTCCAAGAAACAAGTATGCCCCCCTCTACATCTTTTTTTGCCGTGTCTGTGTTCAGGCCGTACTCGCTGGCCTAACCCCTTCTGCTGTGCTCCTCCACTTGACTGCTGTATGGGAACTGTTGAGTCACAGCCTGAACCTCTGGCTGAGCACCTGGGGAAACGACTGACTCAGCCCTGGGAGCCCTGGGAAGGCAATTCAGCGGTGTGACAGGAAGGGGTGCAGCCTGGCTGCACCTCTCTTAGTGCTCATTTAAGGGCTGACTGCCACGGGGGAGGGCTCTGCCTGGAGATTCCCTTCTAATTCCCTTCCTTTGTAGCACCTCTCTATTGTGCCAGTCCTTTCATCATCACGTCCTTGTTGTTAGCGCCTTTCCCATTGTATTGATCAGTTCAATTGCTCCAACTGCTTTTTATGTAGTTTTTATTCATAGCAGTGTCCTGACAGGTACCTTGAAAGTTGGCAGGCTAGCATTAGCTGAGTTACCATTCAAGTAGTGACTCTGCTTCGGCTATGGTGCTAAGTTTGTTCTTAAACTTTCTCCAAGTAAGAGTCATTAAAAGTAGTAATAAAGTAGTAAAAAAGGGTACATTCCCTTGGAAACACTCAGCACGAGCTAATTACGATGGTTTAGCAAAGAGGTCAAGGCTGCTAAGTGTGTGGGGGGAATAGAACAGTAATGGTCAGAACAGTTAAAAAATGAAGTAAATGTTAATTTTACAGTTTGTTCACTCCAACTTTCCCCTCCTTTTGAAAACAAAGCTCATTCTGAAGACTCTTTTACTGTTGTTTTGTAATCAACTGCTCAGTGTCTCAATAGCTGGGATGGGGATTATTTACATATCCCAGGAATCTCTGGGAGTGTTTCTGTTATTTTCCAAAGATCTTTTGTTAGAGTAGTGGAAGTTTAGGAAAGTAGTTGAAATAGGTCAGAGCTCTCTTAAGTGTCTGTCTGCTTACATTATGCTGCTTCTAGCCAGGCAAAGTGCTCCAAATTAAGGGAGATTTAAAAAATTGCAGATGTAATAATAGTTATGATTCTATGAAGTAATGATAAGTCTGATTTACTGTAAAATGCTATCAGCTTAGATTTTGCTTTTGGGGGAAAAAAAAGCTCAAAACCAATAAAATAAATTCCTTCAAAACTGTCATAGTGATAGCTTTTGAACAGATGATGATCCTGTGGCCTAACCTGGCAGTTCTGTATGCACTGAAGCACTCAGAGCCTGAATTACAGCTGATGGAAAAGATAGACTTGCATAAAATCATCTGTACTAGCTTTCACTAACCACACTGAGAAAACATACTTCTTAATAAATGATTGATTTATTGGTAATAAATTTCATAGGTGACTTGCTCAGGATGGCAGATTGTATGAGCAAAACCAAGCAGGACAAACCAGCTGTTTGCAGCTGCATTGTAACAACTTTGATCTCAGGCAGTCCTTCCTTCTCTCCCTTCCTCAACCATTCCACAGCATCCTTGTCTTGCAAGCACAATCTTTATAATGTTATGCATTTTTGCTGTTGCCCATTTACTCACTTGATAATTATTTCTTTCCTGTTTTTTTCCCCTTATTTTATATATATGTTTTTAGCAAGTATTGGTGGTATTGTGTAGTACTACCAAGTTTTCCTGATGTTTAAGAAGCATTCATTCCTTGCAGGAAATTGTATATGAAATGGTATTATTTAGATAAATCTTTTCTTTCCTTTTGAAATGAAACCTGAACATTTTAAAAGGCACCTTACAGTGAAAATATGCTGAAGAAATTCAGACAGTACAGTGTGCTCCCATCTAACCCCTCTGAGGATTTGTTTTGCATTCATTAATTAGAAAGCCCCTGTCAACAGAAGAGGTCTGCCAGTTGTTTTATATCAAACAATGCATTATCTGTGGAGTTACAAATTGTTTGATAGAGCATGCTGGGCATTGATCAGCCTGGGAGCATTTAACTTCAGTCAAGCTTGCTGATGTGGTTAATTATTTTTCTGCAAGGTAGCTAAGCCCACTGGCATCAGCGATTTCTGTAGCTGAGGAAGTGCTCTGAGACAGAGTGAGGAAGCCATCAGTTTTAGAAAGAACACTGGAGGTACTTCACATGCTTTGATGATATTGAGAGAGATCATTGTGAGTAGAGAACATGCTCGTTCTTTAACAAATAACATTCTAGTGAAATATTGACATGGTGTAACCTATTTAAATGTACAGGAAAATAATGTGAATAACTCTAAATTCACAATAAATATGCATTAGTTGCAAAAATCAGTAGATCTTGTGTTTAGACTTGTGAACAGGAAATCAGACTTGTAATTTTTGTTCTCTCTACTGCTCGTACAGTGCATGAAGTACATACCTCACATAGACATCTTTTTAAAACAGAAACCTTGAACAAAACACAAAAGACTGGTGTTTGCAGACCAAGCAAATACATTTAGACATATTTTAATTTCAAATAAATGATTGTTTATACAATTTGAAGAGATGTGTATGTGTGTGTGCATAGCAATCAATCACATCTAGTAAAGCTCAGCTATAGCAAAGCCATCTATGAAGCATGTGGTACAAGATCACTGAATTCTCATTTTCCTCTTCAGTGATTTGCATGCTAGCATGACTTGCTGTATGACTAAGCTGCAAAAAGTTATGGAACTCAGAAGGTTTGAGCAGCATAGATCAGTTGAGCTTCCTTCTTTTTTTAAAACAAGTTTAAAACAAGTCTGCTTCTAACCAGTTTGCCTGCCAAGACCAGACTCAAACAACTGAAGTTCCTTATGAGCTGGGTGACAAAATATCTATGGGCTTAACCTGGGTGTCTGTTCCTGTGTGTCGCACAGGTAGTGGATTTTAAAAGGCAATATATTTGTTTGCTAGCAAACCAGTTTTACAAAAAAACAAGGGCTGACCAGCATGCAAGAAGCTTCTTCCTAGAAAAGTATCTCCTAGTGTTCATTTATTTATTTTGACTTAGCTTGGATTGTTTTTTTTTCTCTCTATTCCAGTATGCTTGCACAACCAGTAAGGACACAGAGTTTACTTCTCATGTTTATTGAATCATTTATATCAAATAAACACTTTTGTGAGTCTCATCACAGAAGGGAAAACATTCCTTTGAGAGCAGAGAAATCAGAAATCCTGTCAGAAGAAAGGATTTTCTTTTTGTTTCCATTTTACATATCTAAGGAGAAGGCATATTTCAAGGAGAATGACTGAAATGTTAACAGATGAGGATGGGGGCTCCAGGGTGAGGTGTACACAGCCAAAGTCACAACTGGGAGATTGAGTTGCTCTGGGATGCATTAACCCTTTGCACTTTGCAGCTTCCTATATGGCGCTTTTGTTTTTTTCAGTTCCAAGTCAAAGTATGAAGCCAGTCATCTTATCTGTTGCAGTTAGAGCAGTCTCCTTATCTGTTCAGTTCTTATTGTTTGGATAGATTGTAATGCCTAAGGTCTCATTAACGTATCATTTAGAATTGAAAACCCACTCCGTTTCATTTTGAAATCTTTTGCATATGTTCTTTTTTTCCCCAATCATGTACTGATTTCATTGACATGAGAGGAAACAATGTAATTACTGTAGTAACATCAGAACAGATATTATAGAGCCTGTGGTAGTTCACACATAACATGAATAGATAGGCTAAGCCCATAAATGAACTGGCTACTCTTAATTTCACAGAGTGAGGGAGGTGAAAACTCACTACTCACCTAGGCCATTCAGCTGAGTGCTTCCCAGTTCCTTTACTTCAGGTGTGTGACAAAACCATTGGTTTAAATGAGGACACTTACTCACTGAAAGATAGGCTTGGAGGTCAGCAGCAGGAAGCCAGAAGGGAATAAACATAATTTTTTAGCGTTCTGTCATTTTACTTCACCATATTCAAATGATAAACAATGACTTTCTCATTCCTCTGTTTCCTTCTCCCGTGCTGACCTCCTTCCTGGGTGCTGACGTTTTTCTTCTAAACTCTCTTTACTAAATTTTTCTGCTAAGTCAAGCAACAAGCTACCTTTGTTACAAATGGCAGACTGCTGAAGGTCACAGGGACCCGCGTAATCTGAGCTGTCAGAATCCCTGTCCCTTTTTCCAAAGCGCTGGTGTTTCTCCCAGTTTTGATCACCTAGGTCTAGCTCATCATTCCGGCCTCTCTTGCTAGGAAGCTGGTGCTTATACATCAGATGTCTTCTGCCTGGATGCTGCCTCTTGGATAACTCATTTAAGTAAGTTAGTGAACTAGAGATGTCAGTGGATTGGTCCCACAGTGACCTTCTGCCAGGATGCTGTCGCTTTGTCAGCTCCAGGTAGTTGGCAGGGTAGCCTTCTACTTCTGTTTTCCCTAAATTCTGTCTTTTCTGAATGTCTCCAAAAGATGCCTCTTCTTCAGCATCTCTTTTTCCAGGATGCTGTCTCTTTTCTAGGTCACTTATGTATCTTTTTCCAGGATGTTGTCTTTTGGAAAGCCATTGTGGCAGAGGCACATTTAATTCTGTCGAAGGAGAAGAAGAATGTTAATTAACCCCTATAAATCTTCACTAAAGAACTTGAAGTGTGAGTCTGTGGAGTACTAAGGTGTCAGATCGTAATCTGCTGTTCATTACACATTTAATTACATCGTTAACAGTGGTCTTGAATTTGATCAGTCTGAATGGCCTCTGTCAAAACAATTCTGACACACTTTTACCAAGGATGGATTGACGCGCTAGGAACTAGCTGCAAAAAAGTGGAAATGCATGCAATAACAAAGCTTGTTGAATTTGAAACGTGTGAAATGTGTTGATTTGAAACGAGGTGAGCTGAAGATACTGAGCAGCTGGCAGAGATCAGCTGCAGTAGCTGGGTACACAGGAGAAGCTAGACATCAGCATGAGATAGAGAAAAGGTAGGGCTGAGATAAGAGTAGAAGCAGGAATGTGTACATTTGAATGCAAAGTCAATGTTTCCAACCATCCTAACTCTATTGGTATCTCTTACTTATTTTTAAGCTCTGCTTAATATTTCAGATCTTAGTTTGATGTCACAAACTCTCAGCATTGATGTGAAGAGGGAGGAAGTCTCTTTCCATGGGCACTTGAGGCCAGCTCCTGTTCCCACTCTTCAAGGTCTCTGTGCTCCTCTCTGGTGGCAAGCCCCTGCGTGCTGCTGCTTGCCACTGAGCCTGATTTGCTTCCAGTGACTGGTGAGGGAAGAGCATCTGCAAGTTGTCAGGTGGGGACTGACACTAGTGCTGCCTCTACATTCCCAGCCACAGTAAAGCCCATCTTTGTTGGAGTGTGGAAGCTTGAAGGTTGAGGCAATAGGTGAATGGGAGCACTCCTACCTCCCAGTTAGCATTAGGTACAAGGTCTAAAAACAGGGAATGTCTTCCACGAGTCCTTTTAGGGTTTCCCTAGGAAAGTGCTTGCCAGATAGGCAGATACTGTGGCAGGCTTCTATCTTTTTGTTGTTGTTGTTGTTGTTGTTGTTGTTTTTTTTTCATACAGCAGATTACTTAGTAATGGTGTGGTACTGTTTAAGCTGGGAGATCTTAGAGAAGAAAGCCTCTTTTAGAACTATGTCAGTGTATTACAACAGACACTATGCCCATCTCCTTCTCTTTGTTGGAGTAATAAATATATACAATTAGAATCTGGGAAATAAATACAGTGACTAATAATCTCAGCCAAGGAATACAGCAATATTTCTAGAGGGATGTCCCCAGTGTTATATATACCTTTATTCATATCTTCTTTCTTCTCAACTTTCTTGATGACAAATTGAAACATGTGGCTCCCAGATCTCTGCAGGATGTCATCCAGGGAACTTCTTCCCATTTTTTCACTTACTTCTGGAGGGGACTGCCTGCCGTTGAGGCAAACACCAGACAAGGTCAGGCAAAGGAGTAGCACTGGCAGCTGGATAGATGGCATTCTGATTTCCTGCAACTTCCATGGGAGAGAGAACAATGGGAGAGGAGGATGGAGTTAAATAAATCTAGCAATATGTAGACTGAAGTCTCTTATGAAGATCCCTCCTGTTTTCTGTTATATTCTTCCAAGAATTTGTAAATTCCTCATAATTGAAACCAGGTACTTGTTCATTTTTTTCTTATACATATAGATTAACACTTTAAACATCTAACTTCATGTTGTACAGATGATTTGAAAGCCAGAGATTTTGTTTTTTCTTTTGTAAAGAGGCACAAATAATTTCCCTCTTAAACACTGTATTAACTGTTGCCATGCATGAGGTGCACAGATGTATACTTGCACTAACAATGCCCACCAGGCAATTCCTTTGTGATGTATTCTTTTTAAAATGATGTTGTGATTTACAGCACTTCCATTCTGCCTTCAGATAAAGCCTGGTCTCTATAGCCTGTTAGTTTCTAAATATCTTTTTCTGTGCATTTGAAGCAGCTGCTTGTAGAGAGAGATATATATATATATATTTCTGCTTAAGAAGATAGCTGTACTGTGTTAGCTAGAGAGATTTCTTTCATTGGGAAACCATCACACACATTTTTCAGATACATAATAATCATCATATTCTCTGTTACTATTTGCCTAGATAACAAGTGTTTGTCTATTTCTTCCAGCTAACGCTGGAATTTCTAAGGCACTTACCACTGATTTATTTTCCAGTAAGTGGGGTTCCTTCAACAGAATGGAATGTATCTATAATATTACCATACCAATCATTTAGCTTAACATAAAGCATGAAGAACATAAATGCACAGTGTTGTGAAGTGCATTTTTAAAACAGACAATTACAGCCCTGAGATTATTACATAGGCAACCTTTACAAGGAAAGTTAGAATCAGCTAAAAAGGAAATGATTTGATTACCTGGTCTGTAGTTTAGACTTTTGCTGGATGCGTCTGCCTTTAAAGCTGTTTGCACATCTGAGCTTCAAAGTTGCTCTTCTTCTGCTACAGAAACAGGCAGTATCCAACAGAACCGTTGCTAAGTTCTCTTTGGATAGCTTGTGTCTCTGTACTTATACTGTACTGCCTCTGGACCCTTATGCAAATAGCTGTGAGGTAATGTAGGTGATGTGTGTTGCTGGTTTCTTTTTTTTTTCTTTCTTGTGTTTTCTTTTTTTTCATTGATGTCAGGGATTTGCGTTTTCCATGCACTTTAAAACTCTGATGATTATTTGCTTACCTTCTTATATCCATACTGGACTCACAGAACTTACTGCTTTTCCATTCTCTAAGGAGACTGTGCTGGATTTTATGTAAACTAGCAGAGAGAAAGGGAGGCCTTTTTTTTTTTTTGCTTTACGGGAAGAAGCTTAGGTAATTTCTATAACATGAGCACTACAGAGTAAATGCAAAGAGAGAGTTTATCAAGCTAAGGAATAAAATGAAAAATATAATGGATTATCGTTCAATGAGTTTATACGATGGGTTCTTATTCTGAAAGGAACTGAACACTTTCTGTCTTACAATCCATTTTTTCTGGGCATAGATTTCCATAAGCAGCCTACTAAAATATGGAGTATGTAGCATTAGATATTAAAGCATAGCTATGTTGCTGCTTTGTGTTTCAAAAAGTATTATGCTGTTGTAACTGGAAATAAGACTCCTTTTCTAACCTGTCTTTTTAGGATATTCTTCTACACAGTACTATTAAGAACATTCTGGAGATGCAGATACAGGGCTAGTGATTCCTTGGAAACATCACATCCTTTCTGATGACAATGCTTGGGAGTAAAACTGAAATAAAGATTGCTCGTATATGGAAGTAATGCAGGATTCAGCTCACCTGTGGGCTCTTGCTGGCTTGTGTGTGGCATCTTCTGTAATGCATAAAAGAAGGAGTGAGAATCTCCATAGTGATATCTTTCTTTGGCCGCGGGTTTGTAGCAATTTCACTATTCCAGCAATGGTTTGGTAACAAATGCAGGGTATAGGCAAAGAAAGGCACCATTTTGCATCTGTACAGACAATGGTAATACTCCATAATAAGATTAAAAAGGAATGAAGTTAGTTGTTCTGTTTTTAGTGACTCATTACTAATATGAATTTAACAGAAAGTGGTCATCTTACAGACCTTTTTCCCCTTACACCATCCAACTTAAAGTCATAGAACAGAAAATACACAATAAGAGCCTTGCTTTCAGTTCTTTGGAGTTTCAGTTCTTTGGGTTTCTTTGGGGTGACTTCAGGGGAAGCTGTTACTTCAGCCTTCTTCCATGAGAATGTCTTCTCTTGAATTTTGTCTTAATATCTTAGAGAAAAAGTATCAGAATAAATAATTTTTTTAAAATAACAATTAAAGTGTTGTATTTTGAGGATAGTCATCGCTGTCAGTGTATCTGTTCCAGATTTGCCCTGAGGCTAGAGATATGAACTGTATTTTGAACAGTTATACTAAAAATGGAATGTATTTTCTTTCTTGTTTGGATTTCTGTGGGAGCTTGAGACATCCCACGCCTCATGTGCAGAGCATGTGAGCTGATCAGTAGGCAGAGACTGGACAACTGATAGTCCTTAATTCAAAGCAGAGATTCCTGTGAGGACAATTCCTGTGTTTTTTTAGTTTTAGGCAGTGAGTTGGGACTTTCCAGGAATCTAAAGAATACTGGAAAGTACTTTAAATATCTTAATTAATACCAGATTTGCATATTTAACAAGCCAATAGCTGTCTTAGCCCCTGATTTGTCCTAACCAAATGCCTAATCAAGTCCACTGAAAGCAGCCGTGCTTTTCCTTTGATTTAACTAGGGCTAGCCTTAGAATTTTTTTCCCTGAGTTTAAAGGATCCATATGCTGCGTTGAGTTTAAAAAAATCCTCTTGTCCTTTGAAGCATGGCTCTTGAAAAAGATAGATGGGAAAAAGAGAAGTTTACACAGCTGACACACTTTCATATATATGAAGTCATACAAGCAAATTAACTCAAGGAAAGCTAAGAATCTGATATTAAAAAATAGTCTCCTATATGAATGTGTTTCATCTTCACACTGAGTGAATGCGTCAGATGCCACTTCTGATACAGCAGTTGACTTATTGAATTTCTTGGCCACTAAGAAATGGTAGGATAGCTAAGGTTTATGCTTGGAAACTTTGAGTACAAATTAATAAGTTTTCATCTGACACAATGTGAAAATCCTCACAATCTCTGAGTTGAAAATAATTCTTATCATGCTGTTCTCTAGTCCGAAATTAATCTAGACAGTATATATTGGTTTGCATATGCAGCTCTAGCTTGGATATAGCAGGAGCTGCTTGTTGCAAAAACCTCTTACTGAGTCTTTTAATGCACACACAGCGATGCTCTAATGCATGAGACTGTGTAGTCATTGCCCAGTCTGCCATCTAACCCTTGTTTGCTTTCTCACTATCCATCAGAAAAACCTAACTGACTCCTGAATTTCTCTGGGCTAGCTGTCAGGACTTGTTCTCCATTACAGTATCCTACAGTATAGTCAAATGCTAATGCCATAGATTTCAGAACTGCTGTTGTATCAGAGTGAACCTTGTAAAGAATTGCATTCACTTCACCCTAGCTGCTTTGCATTTCTGGGTGTAATAACTCCCTAAGAATTCTTATGGTACCACACCTGAGCTTAAAAAATGAACGTACTGAGCTATAAATTAACATGGGCATTGTTTGAAGGCTTCAGTAATTCTGAAATTCTGAGTAGTTCCTTAATCTCACTTTGTTACAGTTTAATCACATTTTCTCGATTCTTTTTAGTGTAAAAGATTTGAACAAATTTAAACAATGTGGCTAGCATCTGTCATGTAGAATTTATTCTCTGTTGCTTCCCCAAAGCAAGAAGTGTGTGAAGTAAGAACAACTCCCTTATTCAACTGCTGTACTGAACTTCAACTTGTGTATCTGGTGAAGTTCCTTGTTTTGTAAACTTACTCTTGCAAAATGTTTGTTTGGGATATTTTTACATCTTTCCTGGGGCACATTGCTCTGGTCACATTTGGAGATACATAACTGAAACACATTATTCTACTTTAATACAGTCATCTCTCTAGGAATCCTGGATTCTAGAAGTTGCTATGGAGACAGCTCATCTTTTATTGAACTATAGGATAAAAAGATAATTGTGTGAAAGTGATGTACCAATTACCAGTGCATTTGTTACCAGTTTTGCTGAGAGGTGCTGAATGTTTAAGTGGTTTGCTCTAGGTCACACACTTGCTAAAGCACTCCCTTACTAAAATAGATATATATATTTTTTAGTGTATCAGAAGTCACATTTCATTTAAAATGTTGCTTCCCTGACACCTGTGTGTTAGGCTGATAGAAATACCTCCACTGGCTATTTGAAGCACTCCAATCATTAGGTGCATGACTTTATTTTTAACATCCTACTTCCTTAAATTCTAACCTCTGGTTTATTTACTGAACTGTACTTCTTGCAGTGGCTGCAAGTCCATACTGTTCTGTTAACCTCCTCTTATTAATAGCGTTGCAAAATGGGAGTTATTTGATTGCCAACAGAAATCAGAAGCAAATCAGCTCTTTTGTTTTCTTGGGGAAAATGTAAATGTGCAGCTTCTTTAGATCACTCCTCCCAGTTTGTTCCCTGAATTGAGCTAATCAGGGAGTAAATTTGAGAGGGTGGGTATTGTGAACAGGTGAACATCTCTCTTCCTGCGTGATCCTTCTAAAACGCATTGGTGTATGTGACTAGTCTGCTAGGCAGGTGGATGACATACTGTGTTTTTGTGACAGTCATAAGATCACTTCATCTTGGTTTATATAACATCAGAGTCCTGAAGTGGTTTTAGCTGCAGTGATCTTGTTATAGTTTACATTAGAGCAAAGATACCTTTGTACAAGTCAGGGAAACTTTCAGGAATACTAAGAAAACCTTTCTTAGGCTTGAAGAAAGTCTATGTCTATTTGTCTATGAAAGTTTGTCTCAATTCTAAGGACTGTAAAAGGACTTCTAATCCCCCCAAAATGTCAGCTTTTTCCAATGATAGTTAATAAAATGAAATATATTACAACAAACACTATAACCTACGAATCTTGTAATGAATATTAATTATGTCTGAGGGCATGATTCCATAGAGGTGTAGCTACATACACTTCTAA